AGCTTTTCGAGTACACATTTACACTCAAAGGGACAGTCTATCTAGTAATGATTTTTCAGGTCAATGTACTGGTGGATTTTTTTAGTGGTTGGACGTTTATCCAGGCAATCAATTGCTTGTGGAATGAATATATAGAATTTACTAATTTCAGTTCATTATGTATCATATTGTAGCATCGAGGAGCCAAATAGGTGTAATTTCTTATTAGGGTGTTTTTTTCGGATCTAGGTGTTGTGAGTATATAGTTCCTATTTCGAGTATCATGTACATGGCTACTACCGTTTTTTTTGTTTTTTTTTGTAGATTGAGAACTATTTTTAGGAAGAATAGCTGTCTGACATCCATTACTTTGGTTTCATTATATAACATTTCCGTTGGATAGTCCTGAGGAGTGCCAGAAGATGACAGTACTACCAACTGTCAAAAGCGCTCGCAGATAATTAATAGAAGATATAAAGCTTCAAATCACATTTGTCATCATCTGGCGATTATTGTTAAGTGTCATTGTTAAGTGTCATCCCATGGGGGATGACACTTAACAAACACTAAATAATAATTTCAACATATTCCTGTCCGTGAAAACCTTCTAAGNTAGATGAATCGATTGTATTAATAAATCAGTTAATTCTCATCCTATTTTACTTTCTGTATTTGAAATTATTCGATTACAAAGCGACACATTTTGGCAACAGAAAAATGGGGAAGTGAAGTATTGGAGTAAACGTTTCACATTGATCAATTGAGGTGTAGCGCGCGACTGTCGAAGTTCTGTTCATTTTCTCATGTTTAGTGTACCATTTACAGTTTGAGGCTGTACAATTTGCAGTACAGCGAATAGTTTGCCTTTGCATCTTCAAACAGTAGAGTTACATATTCAGTCTTTGAGAAAAGTAAGTAAAAGACGATAGTATCGATAATAAAGTCATGGTGCTTAACCTACAATACCTGATTTGACTAAGTACATGTTTAAACGGGAGTGATTTCAGTTGTGTATCTTCAGCAGAGAAAAGAAAGTGAATGACACATTCTTTTGTATAATTTGTTTTCATAATTTTTATCATTCTTTTTCAAAATAGTATCAATATGCCCAAAAGAAAAAGGAGTGGTGCCTGGCCAAGAAACTGAAAACGTAATGAGTAATTTTCAACAACGGGAATGCAAGTTGCTCTCCAGGTTATAAAAAGTTGTGAATGTTCATGAAAAAAACACCATACTGATGATGGGCCAAAAGCCCGAAACACGTGTCTATGATTTGCCACTTTCATGAGTGCTATGTCCGATATTAACTTCTGTTTCTATATATTCATTCATGAAATATTCCTCGAATATGTATTGCTATGTGGGAGGGCATGCTTAAGGGCGGAGCTCTATACACAAGACGAATACTCCAAAAAAGGTCTGATCTGAGCTTCATGAAGCATCAAAAATTGCTGAGGCTTATTCTGATTCGGAACAGTGTTTCAATCTTTTGAGAAGCAAGTCCAGCGACATGATGCTGCCAAGACATATTGGTGTCCATTTTAACTCCCAACAAACTTGAACCTGGTTAGTTTCACCCCAATTCCAATTCACTTCTAGATTCTCATTAAGATATGCAACCTCCTGCTGCCGGTGAAGATGTGCCTCCGTAGCTGATGTCCTGGAATCCAAATGGAATGACGAGACAAGTGTGCTGTCGTCAGCAAAGCAATATATAAGTAAAAGATCACGTCATTACGTCGTGCAACTGTCACCATGGTGATATAGCTAGATAATACCAGCAATTTACATAAGAGAACAATTTGGTACTGACGAATATCTCTCTCAAACACTGTGATATGTGGAAAACTCTGTATTTGCCAAGAGAGACAATGCAATTACAATCAATTATCCACGTGTTTTTCAATATATTGAATTCTCTGAGGCAAAGAGAGAGGGAGAGAAATTAGGAAAGAAAAGATAGAGGAATGTTTAAGTATACAATTTTGAGTATCTGCTGAAAATTACTGAAAATATGTTATGAATGCACATTTGAAAATAAAAAACTTTCCGTTCTCAGTTTTTTACTAGTATAAAAAATAACAGGTCACCAATAGTTATGTCACTGGACATATAAATAAGTAAAAAATACTGTAGGATATATAAAAATTCAATTAAATTTGAAATGGTATAATGAAGAAATTTTAAGGTATGATCTCCTAGTAACAAATAACGACTATTTACAATAATCCTAACACTACATTGTTCGAGTTCATATCTGGCAGTCGTCACTAGCGTTGCATAGTCTTTACGAAAAAAATTTCATTTTCACGAGCCATCTAAGTACTTCTATGTGGCAGTGTGCTTCGTTGAAGTTATATCTTCTCTGAAGAAAGTCTTCACCTTAGATAAACAAGTTATTAGTGACTCCATGGGAAATTCCATTTTTGGGGAACACTCTGATCACTCTAAGGTTGATTTCGAGTGGGGAAACAGTCCTCAAAAAGAATTTTTGGAATCTTGTACTCAAAATCCATAACGTACCGTCGCTCTTCCATCTCAACTCAGCGAGGAACTGAAGTTTTTCTGGATCGTAGGCCAACAACCTGGAAATATGGATGTAGAGTTTCATTCAACATTGAGTAATAATTTTTTCACAATGCATTTTCATGGAGTCAACATCAAGAGTTATATTACATCGGAATAGATGCAAGAAAGCATTTTGAATTTTGAATACACTGACTAGTTACTGGGTGAAATTCAATAACAATATTCATGAAAATATTCACCAATCTACACAGTATAGACTTCATTTCCAATACGCGTTTCAGTACAACAGTAGTCATCTCAGTCACAAGACATCAGTTACATTTGTTTGAGAGTGGTTGACAATTTTTTATGGTGATTTCCATTGGTTCTGACTTCATTGTCTAATATGAATCGACTATGATTCAAATTTGTGAAAGAACAAATGAAATTATAATGAATAGCTGAAATATCGATTACCTACACAGGTCTGCAAAAAAAATGTTTTGATTTCGTTAACTGATCTTTATGTAGTTTTTTGCGGTGATTTCCAAAATGACATTTGTTTTTATCTATCACGTAAGGTTTGCCAACAAAATGAGGATGGAATAATTGAAAAAGTATAAAAAACGAGAAATTGTGGATTTATTTCTATTATTTTAACATGAAGTAAAAGCAAAAATGAAAATGCTACATAGCTAAACTAAGCATAATAGTGATACACAAGTGTTTGCAAAGTGATTATAAGTCTTTACAGAAAACGTTTTCTTTTTCCGTCAGAGCTTTTTTGGCACTTTTTCGGCTGTGTTCTTGTGAGTTTTCCCATTTCAACATCCAACAGTAGTCTGCCATCATGTTAACATTCCACCGACCTTGGTATCTGCGTTCCATTTCTTTTATGCCTTGATGGAACCGTTCTCCTCGTTCCTCACTTACAGCCCCTAGATTTTCGGAAAAGTAGTCCAGATGTGAGTGAAGGAAATGGACTTTGCCACTCATGTTGCAGTCCAACATTTTGTAGTTTTGTATCAATTCAGCAACCAGTTTTGTAGTTTGGCTCTTTTTTGTTTCCAAGAAAGCCTGTTATAACGAAAACAATAAATCAAAAGATATTTCAAACCAAGTTACTTCACGATGTTTATTTAGATTGTTAGTATCCACAATCGTCTGGACTATTCCTCCGAGAGAAAACTATGTATAGGTCATTCAAGCACTTTCTCATATCCCCTCTTGCCTCTTTTCGCTTCACCGGTTTAGAGGGAGTTGACCGTTTGGCGGGACTTGATCCTTATCCGCTTGATTACAGGTTTCCATATGTTGCGTATATCTACGCTAGCTTGACTGAATGTGTCGTTAGATACTATATATGCAGCTTCTTTGAACTTCCTATCAATCCAGTGTTCCTCCCTTTGGATGATCCCAGCATGGGACCACTTATTGTTATATTGATGACTCTCGATACGTCTCGAATTTCCATTCTGAGACGTATCGGCGAAGAGAACCGACACCAAGTGGTAACATCTGAATACCGAAAACCTATTCACACAGGACAGTACCTGCTTTTGGGTTCTGTTATATGAAGGAGGGTCTCGAAAAGAAACTATGAATCAAAAGATCTTCAACGGAATGGTTACTCCGAAGTGATAGTGGAACAGACTTTGACAAGAAGACAGCAAGAGCTTCACAAGGAAGATAAGCCGTTACGACCAGTGTTTGTACTTCCCTACGTAAGAGGATTATCGGAAAAGAAGAATTGGTTTCAAGTACAACATCAGAACCTCTTTCAGATTCGGAAACACTATCCGTAGCAGCCTCACGAAACCAGGCCACCAAACGCGGACTGCGATTTCAAGAATTCCATTTATCGGATGCACTGTGAGTGCGACGAATCCTATATCGGTAAAACTAGTCGAGCACAAGAAAAACACATAGCGGAGAGAAACCAGCAAATCGACAATAGCAGAGCATGTTTGGCTCATCAACGTACCAACATGTGTTCCCAAGCTATCAGATAATCCACAGGGATAAACACTGTTTCAAGAGAAAGTTCAAAGAAGCTGCAGATATGTTGTCCAACGACGCATTCAGGCAAGCTATCGTAGAGATACGTAACATAAGGAAACCCTCAATCAAGTAGATAACGGTCAACTCTCGTCAAACGGCCAAATCTCGCTGCACCAGTAAACCGAAAAGAGAAAAGAGGGGATAGGAGAAAGCACTCGAATGACCTATAAATAGTAATTTCCCGTAGGAATCAGTCCAGTCATCACCCGAAAACAATTGTGGATACTAACAATCGAAACGTCATGAAGTAACTTGGTTTGAAATATTTTTTAATTTAATGTTCTGTTGTTTTAATATATTTATTCAGAACGATAAAAATAAAATAAAAACAACAATAAAAATTAATTGGCGCTCCGGGGCGACTTCATTGATTCCAGTGGCGCATTTGCTTTTTCAGCTGCAGGAAAACCCGGAAAAACCTGCAGCACCACATCATCTGAAGATCTTGATCCAACAATGTCCTCTCTCTTATAAAACAAAATGTAGGGTGTCTCCAGAGGCTCCAATAAATTCAATGCATCACCAGAACACTTCGTGACACGACTATCGTCAAACTTAAACCAGTCCGTTTCTTCTTTGACCAAGGCGTAATAATGACCAAATTCAATATTGTTGTTTTTGTTTATTTTTAGTTTTATTCTTTTCATTTTTCAGTTTTTTACTCTGTGGTCATTTTCAATTAGTACCTTGATTATTTTATTCTTTTCATTGTATTTTAATTTCACGTTCCATTGTTAGATACAATTGATATTCCAGCTATTCATTCTGATTTCATTTGTTTTTTCATAGATTTCGAATCATATTAGATCCATATTAGACAATGGAAGTCCGAACAAATAAAATTCATCAATTTCATTCATCAAGACAATAATCGATAAACTTTTGGACCTGACAGTATTAATGACACACATGATTTTGCAGTTTACCATAAACCAACTCATACAGATACTACTATCATCTACCATTCTAATCACGCTTATCAACACAAACTAGCAGCTCATTAAATCATTATTCACAGACTTATTAGTATCACTATGTCAACAGAAAACTAAATATGATGAAACAGTAAATACTCACTTTAATCCGGATATGATTCATCACATTCTCGACGAACAATAATTCAAAGGAATACAGGAGAGCATCAAAATTCATAAGTAGACTACTAAGTAAACAGAACATCAACATAGTAAACCACATAACATAACATATACAAAGACTGATATCTCTTTGAGTAGACATAAAAAATAACAAGAACAACAAATCGGATACCACGAGGATCAAACTTGGGACCCCTACTGTACAATACTGTTCAATGATATCGGAGCTGATTTTGATTCCATTCTATACGCAAATGACTTGAAACTATATCACAATATAACAATGATTGCGAACGTCTCGACCTGAATTCGAATCGTGTTGCTATTTGGTGTTGGGATATCCAAATGCAATCTAATGTTTTACTCACTGAAAAGGAATGTGACATCACACAACTACGTCATAACAATCAAGTTCTGAAGTGTCCTATCACACTAACTGATCTAGGTGTTACTTTTTATTTATATCTCTCTTTCAATAAACATATTGACAGCTGCTTATCGCATGTATGGATATTTAGTTACAAATATTGAAGACTTCGAAGAAGCTTCACCATTCGGATTCATTTATTCTACTTTAGTTCGGTCTAGACTAGAATATGCATCTGATGTGTGTAGTCCCTACTATCAGGTATATATAGATCAATTAGAAGACCTTCAAAGGCGCTTCTTAAAATATATGCCTTTTGAACATGAAGGCACTTATCCAACTGTAGGAACACCCTATTATGAATTGCTTGAAATTCACAATTTTTGTAGTCGCGAGGTGAGGCATGAATATTATTCATTTGTTTTGTATTCAAGGTCATGAATAATATCATAACCCGCTCTCAATTGTTACATTATGTTGAATTTTTGAGTTCCTTAACCTTTTATCTCAACACTACGCGAACAAATATAATAAAAAATTATACAACGTGCGATATCTGTAATTCTATCAGTCGTGTCCTAGATATATTCAACTGCCAGATTATAAAAATCAAAAGACATTTCTCAGCTAACTGATAGTTCTGTTTTTCATTCAATTTATTTTTATATGTGTATCGTGTAGAATAGTGTATGAAATAAATAAGTAAATTAATAAAATGTGGCTTGTGCCCAAATGTGTATATAGAAAGAACATCAAAAAATTACAAAACCAGAATGTACGAACACAAAAGAAGTGTTGAATTAATGAAAAGCAATTCAGCCTATCCATGTCCTCTGTTGAAAGAAACTCATGACTTCAACATAAACTACGATGTACTACATACAGAAAATTGAGGACAAAAATTAAACCTACTGAAATCCCCGAAAATTAATAAACGTAAATAATCAAATTTCTATTGTACGACTAACAAAAAAACAATCTCTCACCTCCGTTCAATTGATTTTCATGAAAAATTTCCCCTAGAATTAGTCAAATCATTAGCAACAATAATTTCACCTGCTGGGTACATATTCCTAAACCTACCTGTTTACCAATCATTGAAATCTTTTCAATAAGGTAGTTAATTTGTATGAATTGCATTATACATTGTTGTAGAGTAACAGTCCAACTGAGGAAACTACTGTGTAGTGAGACACGTGTTGAAAATAAAGTCTATTTTGTGAAGATTTGTGATTATTATCATGAAAAAAAGCATGTTGATCAAACAAGTATTCATTAGAGCGGAACCCAATTCAACAATTATTTAGATTTGTAGAATATAGGCAAACCCGAATATTGGATTGAATAGAATGCGGCTTAGTATTGTACCTTGAGGTACTCTCTAATCGATATTTGTTATTGATGCTGGGTTTGTTCCTTACTTTTGTTGATTTGTTAATGGATTCCACGATGCTACAGATGTCTCTGCTGTAGGACTGAAATACAATGTCTCGTCTACGAGATTCAAAGTGAGTGCTACTCCCTGTGATGATTTTCTTCCAACGAAAGAGATGGGTAGTTTCTCAAATTCACCCGGTGGTCCTTTTGTTAGAGTAGTTGTTGGTATACTGAAAATTCTGAAAAAAAACAGTGGATTACTGTCACGTTTTATAGGTAGAATTGAAATTTTGGTTTTAAAATAAATTTAATGAAAACGCTACTTTCACAACTATAGCACTGTCTCCAATCAATTTATCGTCATGAGGATCCCACGATTGACTTAGTTATTTTAAATACATAATTACCTCTCATATTGAGGTCATTCAGATCGAGACAAAACGTAAGTTGGTCAAACTGAGCAGACTCTTATAACCCGTTTAATGGAACATATTTCACGAACTGGAGACTGGGACCTTAAACTCTAGAAACTGTGAACCGGTGTTCCCCAGGGTAGCGTCCTAGGACCCATTCTCTTTCTTTTATTCGTACATGACCTCAACAACAGTATTCGTCGACATCGTACAGTGCAATTTGCCGACGATTCTTTGTTCACTCTGGAGTCTTCAGATTATGAGGGATTGTCGAGTCAGGCCAATCAAGCAGTTGCTAATATGCAAAAATATTGTTCTCAAAATGGTCCCATTCTGAACAGCTCAAAAACTAATACAATCGTCTTTTCATTACATGAAAATGATCGTAGTGTTCTGGTGAAAATAAATGGCAAGTTAATACAACAAACCTCTTCTGAAGAGTTATTACTATGCTTATATTCAATCTTCATTCAGTTATTGTCTGATCAACTTTGGTAACTGTACAAGAATAAACAAATTACTGATATCTCAAAAAAAGATGGTGAGAACAATGTGTTTCAAAAAATATGATGACTCATGTAGGGAGCTGTTTACTGATTTGGATATTCTAACCATTAATTCACTATATATTATCAACTGTGTTGTTTATGTCAAAACTCATCTTGATAAATTTGAATCAAGAGATGATCTTCGGCTCGCCACAGGATATACGTTAAGATCTAACTATAATTTTATTGTTCTCCACCATAAATTGACGAAAGCAGCAAACAGCCCCCTAATTATGCCCATCAAGTTATTCAACAAACTACTTATCTTCCTTATTAAACAGCTATCAAACCTTCATTCTTTAAAAAAAATGTTAAAAAACTATTAAATGACAGTACATTTTATTCCCTCAATGAATACTTCCAGGCTGATTTGGAAATATTAATAACTTGATTGCAACAGTT